AGTCCCTCAGCCTGGAGAAGAGTTCAGCACCATGGTCTGGAACAAGGTGGTCAGTCCCTCAGCCTGGAGAAGAGTTCAGCACCATGGTCTGGAACAAGGTGGTCAGTCCCTCAGCCTGGAGAGGAGTTCAGCACCATGGTCTGGAACAAGGTGGTCAGTCCCTCAGCCTGGAGAAGAGTTCAGCATCATGGTCTGGAACAAGGTGGTCAGTCCCTCAGCCTGGAGAAGAGTCTAGCATCATGGTCTGGAACAAGGTGGTCAGTCCCTCAGCCTGGAGAAGAGTCTAGCATCATGGTCTGGAACAAGGTGGTCAGTCCCTCAGCCTGGAGAAGAGTCCAGCACCATGGTCTGGAACAATGTGAAGCTGGAGACTTACATACTGCTTCTACTGCTGCCTCTGTACTCGTCTGAAGAAGTCTACTGTGTAGGCGACACGTTTCGGAATAAAGATACCCGTTGCACGTGTCTTACCAACCCACCAGCATAACCCCCAAAAAAAATCAGACAAAGTGTATAGATAATGGCAAAAGTGACAGTATCAGCGTCACGCTACAGAACTCACAACAAAGGTGATATAATTGAGTCACTATTTTTTTACTCTTGCTACGGTTTCTTCCTCTGGTGATAAACCCTTGTCTCTGAAAGCCTCCAGCGAGCACCATCACCAGTCCGCGAAATGGTATATCTGGAGAGGATTTCTGGGGTCAACGCCCCCGCGCCCCGGTCTGTGAAAGGTCTCGTCTGGTGCGTTTAGAACCAACACGAATGCAACTTTTCGCAATAATAATGTTTATTTCTTGCAGTAGATGGTTCAACTTATACATACCATAGCTGACACCAATGACATTTTATATAGAAAGTTCCTGGTTATGTAGAGCATTTCCTGCAACTTAGGTTAATTTTGTCCCCAGGATGCCACCCACACAAGTCACCTAACACCTAAGTACCTGCTTACTGCTAGACGAACAGGAACAGTAGGTCTAAGAAAACACGCCCAACGTTTCCTCCCGTACCGGGGATTGAACCACGGACACTCACTGTGTGAGGCGAATGCGCTACCAACAAAGCCACGTAATCTGTAAACCTTTCCCTCACGTCTCCTTGTTAATTATTATCGTCACCTACGCCCAGGTACCTATTTGCTGCTAAGTGAATATGGGCAGCAGGTGTCATGAAACCTGGCCCTACCTCTGGCTTTGCCCGGGGATCGAACCCGGGACCTTTCAGTTGTGAGACGAATCTTCTTGTTTACCAGGAAAAACATAATTTGATAAAGCTCTACACAGAGTGAAACACGACTTGATAAAACTCTACACAGAGTGAAACACGACTTGATAGAGCTCTACACAGAGTGAAACACGACTTGATAAAGCTCTACACAGAGTGAAACATGACTTGATAAAGCTCTACACAGAGTGAAACATGACTTGATAAAGCTCTACACAGAGTGAAACATGATTTTGATAGAGCTCTACAAGAGTGAAACACGACTTGTTTAAAGCTCTACACAGAGTGAAACATGACTTGATAAAGCTCTACACAGAGTGAAACACGACTTGATAGAGCTCTACACAGAGTGAAACACGACTTGATAAAGCTCTACACAGAGTGAAACACGACTTGATAGAGCTCTACACAGAGTGAAACACGACTTGATAAAGCTCTACACAGAGTGAAACACGACTTGATAGAGCTCTACACAGAGTGAAACACGACCTGATAGAGCTCTACACAGAGTGAAACACGACTTGATAAAGCTCTACACAGAGTGAAACACGACTTGATAAAGCTCTACACAGAGTGAAACATGACTTGATAAAGCTCTACACAGAGTGAAACACGACCTGATAGAGCTCTACACAGAGTGAAACACGACTTGATAAAGCTCTACACAGAGGGGAAAAAAGACTTGATAAAGCTCTACACAGAGTGAAACATGACTTGATAAAGCTCTACACAGAGTGAAACACGACCTGATAGAGCTCTACACAGAGTGAAACACGACTTGATAAAGCTCTACACAGAGTGAAACACGACTTGATAAAGCTCTACACAGAGTGAAACATGACTTGATAAAGCTCTACACGAAGTAAAACACGCCCTATAGAGCTCTACACAGAGTGAAACACGACTTGATAAAGCTCTACACAGAGTGAAACATGACTTGAAAAAAGCTCTACACAGAGTGAAACACGACCTGATAGAGCTCTACACAGAGTGAAACACGACTTGATAAAGCTCTACACAGAGTGAAACACGACTTGATAAAGCCCCACAGAGTGAAACATGACTTGATAAATCGTTAGATAGAGAGAAAGGAAAGGTTTCTCTTAAGTTAGGTTCAGTAACTAGTGTTTTTCAGCAGTATTCTGGAGACTGCCACACCGGGACTCATCACAGTGTTCTCCCAGGTGTGGAACATTCATTTTTTTCCAGTTCCGAGAGGTGGTTCCTGTGTGGTATATTACAGTGTGTGTGAGGCAGGTTCACTGCACTCACTGTTGAGTTCTGGCAGTGCTGTGACCTCTCTGTATTACTGTTGAGTTCTGGCAGTGCTGTGACCTCTCTGTATTACTTTTTGAGTTTGGCAGTGCTGTGACCTCTCTGTATTACTGTTGAGTTCTGGCAGTGCTGTGACCTCTCTGTATTACTGTTGAGTTCTGGCAGTGCTGTGACCTCTCTGTATTACTGTTGAGTTCTGGCAGTGCTGTGACCTCTCTGTATTACTGTTGAGTTCTGCAGTGCTGTGACCTCTCTGTATTACTGTTGAGTTCTGGCAGTGCTGTGACCTCTCTGTATTACTGTTGGGTTCTAGCAGTGCTGTGACCTCTCACTGTATTACTGTTGGGTTCTGACACTGCTGTGACCTCTTACTGCGTTACTGTTGGGTTCTAACAGTGCTGTGACCTCTCACTGTATTACTGTTGGATTCTGACACTGCTGTGACCTCTCTCTGTATTACTGTTGGGTTCTGACACTGCTGTGACCTCTCTCTGTATTACTGTTGGGTTCTGACACTGCTGTGACCTCTCACTGTATTACTGTTGGGTTCTGACAGTGCTGTGACCTCTCACTGCGTTACTGTTGGGTTCTGGCACTGCTGTGACCTCTCACTGCGTTACTGTTGGGTTCTAGCACTGCTATGACCTCTCACTGCGTTACTGTTTGGTTCTGGCAGTACTGTAACCTCTCAATGCGTTACTGTTGGGTTCTGACAGTGCTGTGACTTTTCACTGTATCACTGCTGGGTCCTGAAAGTGCTGTGACCTCTTACTGTATCACTGCTGGGTCCTGAAAGTGCTGTGACCTCTTACTGTATCACTGCTGGGTCCTGGAAGTGCTGTGACCTCTTACTGTATCACTGCTGGGTCCTGGAAGTGTTTTGTGACCTATACTGTATCATGTGGGTCCTGGAAGTGCTGTGACCTCTCACTGTATCACTGCTGGGTCCTGGAAGTACTGTGACCTCTCACTGTATCACTGCTGGGTCCTGGAAGTGCTGTGACCTCTCACTGTATCACTGCTGGGTCCTGGAAGTGCTGTGACCTCTTATTGTATCACTGCTGGGTCCTGGAAGTGCTGTGACCGCTTACTGTACCACTGCTGGGTCCTGGAAGTGCTGTGACCTCTCACTGTATCACTGCTGGGTCCTGGAAGTGCTGTGACCTCTCACTGTATCACTGTTGGGTCCTGGAAGTGCTGTGACCTCTCACTGTTCATGCTGGGCCCTGGAAGTGCTGTGACCTCTTCTGTATCACTGCGGGGTCCTGGAAGTGCGTGGGCCTCTCACTGTATCACTGCTGGGTCCTGGAAGTGCTGTGACCTCTCACTGTATCACTGCTGGGTCCTGGAAGTGCTGTGACCTCTCACTGTATCACTGCTGGGTCCTGGAAGTGCTGTGACCTCTCACTGTATCACTGCTGGGTTCTGTCCTCTTATATGTGGTTGCAGGGGTCGAGTCACAGCTCCTGGCCCCGGTTCTTCACTGATCACTACTAGGTCCACTCTCTCCATGCTCCATGCACTTAATCATACCTCTTCTTAAAGCTATGTATGGATCCTGTATGAGATATAGTCTTAGTGTTCCTGGAAGAATCTGCAAATGAGTGTTGAAATAGTGAACGTTACTATCCTAGACCAGTTACTATCCTGGACCAGTTACTATCCTGGACCAGTTACTATCCTGGACCAGTTACTATCCTAGACCAGTTACTATCCTGGACCAGTTACTATCCTGGACCAGTTACTATCCTGGACCAGTTACTATCCTGGACCAGTTACTATCCTGGACCAGTTACTATCCTGGACCAGTTACTATCCTAGACCGGTTACTATCCTGGACCAGTTACTATCCTGGACCAGTTACTATCCTGGACCAGTTACTATCCTAGACCAGTTACTATCCTGGACCAGTTACTATCCTGGACCTGGAGTTTACCTGGAGAGAGTTCCGGGGGTCAACGCTCCCGCTGCCGTGTCTGTGACCAGGCCTCCTGGTGGATCAGAACCTGATCAACCAGGCTGTTACTGCTGACTGCACGCAATCCAACGTACGAGCCACAGCCCGGCTGGTCAGGTACCGACTTTAGGTGCTTGTCCAGTGCCAGCTTGAAGACTGCCAGGGGTCTATCCTGGACCAGTTACTATCCTGGACCAGTCACTATCCTGGACCAGTTACTATCCTGGACCAGTTACTATCCTGGACCAGTTACTATCCTGGACCAGTTACTATCCTGGACCAGTCACTATCCTGGACCAGTTACTATCCTGGACCAGTTACTATCCTGGACCAGTTACTATCCTGGACCAGTTACTATCCTGGACCAGTTACTATCCTGGACCAGTTACTATCCTGGACCAGTTACTATCCTGGACCAGCTATGGCACCAGTAAGACATCTGGCAGTTCTACTCCTGGTAAGTCCAGTACGTTCTGTATTTTCTCATCTCTATTCTAAGAATATTTAGGTACAGGTACATAAATACAGTTACCTAAATTATCATACATAGTAACATATGTGTAAATTACCCACCAGGATAATTCATACGGGTTTGGAGCATTTCGTGAGAATAATAATATATGTGTTGTATCATGTAGACTATTCTGTATACTATTTAGTACTAAATAAGACTTTATGTCTGACACAGGTGGTCCTGGGCAAGTCTTCAGCCTTCGCCAGACATCTCTTGGTAAGACTCAAGTCTGATCCGGTACAATTAAGTGGATCGGGTTCAAACTTATGGTTGGTCAGTCGTGTGGTCACCACCACTATGATGGTCCACTGGTAGCTTGTGACGATGTTTCTGTCTCTCATGGACTGTTATCAAGTCCCGGACCATTGTCAGGTACTCCACCATTGTCCAATACTGGACCATTGTCAGGTACTGGTCCATTGTCAAGTACTGGATCATTGTCCAATACTGGACCATTGTCAGGTACTGGTCCATTGTCAAGTACTGGATCATTGTCCAATACTGGACCATTGTCAGGTACTGGTCCATTGTCAAGTACTGGATCATTGTCCAATACTGGACCATTGTCAGGTACTGGTCCATTGTTAGGTACTGGACCATTGTCAGGCCTCAGGGCCACTGACTCCTGAAACACCCTCCAGGTAACTTTATCCACTTCTCCACAGATTGGTCTGTCTGTGGGTAGAAGCCCTGGGAAGGTCTCTCACCACCATCACTCCTGCACTCTCCCACAAGAACAGCTCCTGGATAATCTCTACGTGGATTACTTCCATTCTGTTGGTCCCTGTATCACTCCTGAAGGTGCCAAGGTCTACACCTTCAGGAACACTGCCCAGGGCACTGGGCAGGGCCCACACACCTACTACTCCGTGTGCTCCAAAGTTCCCAAAATTTGCCAGCTCATGGGTCGACAGCGGTGAGTTGTATTTATTTTATGAACATTGGGAGTGTTAAATCAGTAGGGGGTCACCTAGGAGGTGATCAGATTTGATTCAGGAGAATAACTTAAATTTCTTGGATCTAGAGCCCTGCATCAGGATCACCATCCTTGATTAGCCTGAGGTTTTGGACACTGTCATTTATTTATTTATTTATTTATTTATTTATTTATTAATTTGAGCATACATACGAGGTACAAAAAAATACAGATAAGAGCAGCATGCCAAAGCCACTTATACTATGCATAGCATTACGGGCTGGCTTAAAATTAACTTAAGATTAACTAAGCAATGATGAAATCAGTGATAAAACATTATTGTAAACAGATAACTATAAAGCACAAGTGAGTATTACAAAGACAGGTCATATGGTTGTATGCATTGTTGTACATTCAGTAGAATGGAGTATTCTGTTAGGTAGTGTATTTAAAAAATAATAAAGTTAGATTGGGTTTTAGGTTTAACATTTATGTGATATAATTGTGAGAAACATTTAAGATATACAATTTATAAGGTTCAGTTATTCAGTATTTATTTGGTTTTGGGTGAGTAAGTGATCTTTGAGAAGAGACTTGAATTTATAAACAGGTAGTGTTTCTTTTATATTTACAGGTAATGAATTCCAGATTTTAGGGCCTTTTATGTGCATTGAGTTTTTGCATAGTGTGAGATGGACACGAGGAACATCAAAGAGTGATCTGTGCCTTGTGTTATGGTCATGTGTTCTGTTGAGGTTGGCAAAGAGATGTTTGAGGGGAGGGTTAATATCAGAGTTAAGTGTTCTATGTATGTAATAGGTGCAGTAATAAGTATGGATGTTTTGTATGGTGAGTAGGTTGAGTGTTTTGAATATTGGTGGAGTGTGCTGCCTGTAGTGAGAATTTGTTATCATTCTAACTGCAGCCTTTTGTTGGGTAATTAGTGGTCTGAGATGGTTTTTTTATTATTTATTATTATTATTATTATTTCTAGTACCACCAGTACCACTGACCACTACTACTACTAGTACTATACTACTACTACATCTAGTAGTACTAGTACTACCATTACTAGTCACAGAGATGCCATAAAACTGTTTCTTTCCAGGAGACATAGGATGGTGGAGGCAGATGTGACAGAGTCCTTCATTGGTAATACCAGTCTCTATCACACACCCACAGGACGCACCTCTACTCACACACCCACAGGACGCACCTCTACCCACACACCCACAGGACGCACCTCTACCCACACACCCACACAGGTAATGTCATAGACTCTGGAATTATTATTATTATTTATTTATTATCTTTTAATCGTACACTTCTCTCCATCACCCTAACATTGCTTCTTATACAACTCCATCTATAACTATATTAAACAACCATGGTGACAGAACACAGCCCTGTATAACAGTAGGCTTTCAATATTTTCTCAAGTGTCATCCATGACTGTATACAAAATGTAGTCTTGAAGTAAACTTGTATTGAAAGGCCTATTTTTACTGGGAAATAATCTCCCTCTCTCCTATGTTCTCTACCCTGAGCCTCACTACCCACATAAAACCTCTTTACTGCTTTAAGTAACCTACTGCCTACATATTCCAAACATTTATAACATGTTTCGCATGAAAGATTAAACTAACTAACTTTCCCTGTCCATTTTACTGTATTTGATTTTCTAAATCCATGAAAACAATGAAGAGTTCCTTAACTTTATCTAAATACTGTTCACCCATATGTTTCCATGTTAACACTTGGTCTACACACCCCCTACTCTTCCTAAAGCCTCCTTGTTCATTTACAATTCTGCTTTCTGGTATACCCATAATTCTTTCAGTAATACACTTTACTTCGTATACTCACCAGGCTTATTTCCCTATAATTTTTACACTGCTTCCCATGTTTCTCTTACATAAGGAACTATATATGCTCTGGAAATAAGTCACTTTGACTTTTTTGGGTTATCCCAGGTTCTTTACACATATGTATGATGATCTATGTAACTGTGTTTGTGTATACCTGAATAAACTTACTTTGGTAATTCTTAGGTACCTTTCCTTCTTTCATGCATATATTGAACAAGCACCAACCACTCCAAAACTATATCCCCACATTTCTGTCTTGATCCCATCTGTCCCCAGCTGCTGTACTCCCTTTCATTGTACCCACAGCCACACACATCTCCCCCACACTCACATCTTTCTCTTCCTTACTCTTATACTATACCTCCCTGGCTATTGCACAATGTCACTGTCTTCCTCTCTTCATCAGCATTTCACAACTCAGCATATTATTACCTCTATCTTCCCAGTACTTCCACCATGTCATCTAACATCTCCCCTCTCTTGTTTTAACTGCCAAAATCATTTGCTCCCATGCTTTCTCAACTTTTTCTTATTCACAGCAAACTAAACTGAGAGTTCTCTGCCACTGTTTCATTGACTCTCCTTTTATACTCACTTACCACTCTTATTTATCTTTCTTTTACTCTCTGTATATCACTTCTACATTATGAAATCTCTTGTGGTAATTTTGACTTTTCCTTACCTTCCTTTTTTAATCTCATTCTTCCACTAACTCCTCATTTTATCTGCATCCACTCTCCTACACTCACCATCTTCTGTCCACTCTCCTACACTCACCATCTTCTGTCCACTCTCCTACACTCACCATCATCTGTTGTCCACTCCTACACCCACCATTTTCTGTTGTCCACTCTCCTACACTCACCATCATCTGTTGTCCACTCTCCTACACTCACCATCATCTGTTGTCCACTCTCCTACACTCACCATCATCTGTTGTCCACTCTAGCACCTGTACTCTATCCACTCCACCTTTCTCCCAGTAATTATTTATATCTTACTCTAAATGTCTCTTTAGTTCATTCATCTCAAACTTCACTCTTACCCACTGATGACATCGTCCTCCATCAACTACTCAATTTGATACAAAAATAAAAGTTATTATAGTTGCTCTTTGCCAGTGACAGTTTTATATTGAGATTTTTGAAGAGAAGTTTTAAAAGTTAGTAGAGGATTTTGGGAGGGCATATAAAAAAGGAAATTAAAAGTGAACTTAGACAAAACAAGGTGATAAGAGTAACAAAAAGTCTAGATACTGTATGACTGGATGTCAGAGTGGAGGGAGAGAGTGTGGAGGAAGTGAATGTGTTTGAGATATTTGGAAGTGAATTTGTCAGCAGATGGTCTATGAAAGATGAGGTGAACCATACAATATTATTATTATTATTATTATAATCAAGGGGGAAGCGCTAAACCCAGAGGATTATACAGCGCCTGGGGGGGGGGGTGGAAGGCATTCAGGCTTAATTTGGGAAACTGGAGCACAGATCCAATTCCCTAAATCAAGAGCCCCTCACCAACAATAGAGAAGGGAAAAAAGTAGATAGTGTCAAGGCATCTCTGTAAAGTTTATGTATGGAGGTAAAAAGAGGACTAGTGAAGGTGTCTCTAGCAAGACAGCGATGGAGTGAATGATGCAGAAAGTATTTCTTCTTTTTTGGATCACCCTGCCTCGGTGGGAATAATAAAAAGAGGAATGAACCAGAGTATAGTCGTACCAACATTCTCAGACAGTCTCGTGCAGATTCTAGTATTGGCTGTAAAAAATGACATAGTGCTATGGTTTCCATCTCTGTCTGATATGAGGATGAGGAAAAGGATGGGGGCGAGTATTGTATCTTGTGAACAGAGTTTCTCGCTGTAGTAGCCTCAAACTTAACCCTGTTTACTATTTATACAAGTATGAGGCATGGGTTGTAAACATTACTGTGAAGAGGCTGGAGGCAGCGGAGGTGTCATGTTTAAGAGAGATGTGTGGTGTGAATATTATGCAGGGAATTCGTAGCTTGGAGATTAAAGATACTTTATTACAGCACGATACAATGTTTGTACAGAGGTGAATGACATTTAGGTGTGCATGCAGAAAGCCCTTTACTAAAGGTATAATTGTGGACCTGGGCCAGGACCCGTCCTGGAAAACCTACGTAAACACGAACGTGAGGAAATGGTATGGTGATACCGACAAGATGTGGAAAAAGACACTTATGTACAGTTCAGGACATTTATTAAAGGAAACATTTCGCCATGAGTGGCTTCTTCAGTCATTAGGACTGAAGAAGCCACTCATGGCGAAACGTTTCCTTTAATAAATGTCCTGAACTGTACATAAGTGTCTTTTTCCACACGAACGTGAGGATTGAATAGAAATTTTAGGGGTGGTTAAGTAAGTTTATTTAGGCACATATACACAAAAATACAATTATCATACATAGTGTAAAACATCCACCAGGATAACCCAAAAAAGTCAAAGTTATTTATTTCTATTAGGCATTTAGAGAGGACTCACAATGATTATAGATATTTAAATCTAGGGTGGAAGAAAGGGTAGGGGTTGTCCCAGGAAGAGGATAAAGGAAGTTTTACAAGAAACTTAAAAACATCCATCAGGCTTGTGTGTGCATATTACAGTTAATGGAGACAGGTGGTTTTTATAACTTGATGTGTTGTCAGAGTGTGAGGAAAGTAACATTTATGAAGGGATTCAAGAAAAAAGGTTAGCCAGACTTGAGTCCTGGAGGTGGGAAGTTTAGTGCCAGCATTCTAAAGGAGGGATGGAGATTGTAACTGTTCAAAGGATCACCTGAACCAGGGGTTCTTAACTGGGGGTATCTGCACCCCTTTGGGAGTATGGTAGTAGTACTAGTACTAAACCTGTAGGGGTCATACAGCACCTGGGAAATGGAAGGTAATCAATCAGGCTCTATCTGAGGAAGAAACAGCACTGTATGACCTTGCTAGTTTAGTGCTTAGTTTTGATTATAATATCTGAAGGGGAGGTTGCCCCAGTTCCTTGCATCAAAAGCCCTTCACCACCAATAAGTCACTCTTTTGCAGTGTTTAATTCTCTAATACTTGGCGACAGGCTCGGCTTGTCTCCAGTGGTGACCAGGACAACAGCAGTGTCCTGGATGACAGCAGTGTAGTGGATGACAGTACTGTCATCTTCTCAACAGAGTGTAGCCATGGAGGGTGAGTACTGACCAATGGGAAAGATACATTAAATATCAGTAAAAAAGACACATACAGCACTTGGGTATCTTTGTCATAAATGATTCAACTTCACAACAGGCTTCTTCAGTTAAATATAGGTGAATATATCACTGAAGATAGTAGTAGTAGTAGAGTTTTGATGTGGTCAGTCCCTCAGCCTTGATAAGAGGTGGTCAGTCCCTCAGCCTTGGTAAGGTAAGAAGTGGTCAGTCCCTCAGCCTTGGTAAGGTAAGAAGTGGTCAGTCCCTCAGCCTTGGTAAGAGGTGGTCAGTCCCTCAGCCTTGGTAAGAAGTGGTCAGTCCCTCAGCCTTGGTAAGGTAAGAATTGGTCAGTCCCTCAGCCTTGGTAAGAGGTGGTCAGTCCCTCAGCCTTGGTAAGAAGTGGTCAGTCCCTCAGCCTTGGTAAGAAGTGGTCAGTCCCTCAGCCTTGGTAAGGTAAGAAGTGGTCAGTCCCTCAGCCTTGGTAAGGTAAGAAGTGGTCAGTCCCTCAGCCTTGGTAAGAGGTGGTCAGTCCCTCAGCCTTGGTAAGAAGTGGTCAGTCCCTCAGCCTTGGTAAGAAGTGGTCAGTCCCTCAGCCTTGGTAAGAAGTGGTCAGTCCCTCAGCCTTGGTAAGAAGTGGTCAGTCCCTCAGCCTTGGTAAGGTAAGAGGTGGTCAGTCCCTCAGCCTTGGTAAGAAGTGGTCAGTCCCTCAGCCTTGGTAAGATAAGAGGTGGTCAGTCCCTCAGCCTTGGTAAGAAGTGGTCAGTCCCTCAGCCTTGGTAAGGTAAGAGGTGGTCAGTCCCTCAACCTTGGTAAGTGGTGGTCAGTCCCTCAACCTTGGTAAGTGGTGGTCAGTCCCTCAACCTTGGTAAGTGGTGGTCAGTCCCTCAACCTTGGTAAGTGGTGGTCAGTCCCTCAACCTTGGTAAGTGGTGGTCAGTCCCTCAACCTTGGTAAGTGGTGGTCAGTCCCTCAACCTTGGTAAGTGGTGGTCAGTCCCTCAACCTTGGTAAGTGGTGGTCAGTCCCTCAACCTTGGTAAGACATAGTCAGTCCTTCAGCCTACAGTATAAACACAGTCAGAACTTACATACACGACTAGAAGCAATTCATAGGGAAGTGCTCTAAACCCATACACTGCTTAGAGAATAGGAATTATATTTATGGTAGTGTGCTAAACACACAGGGGCACACAGCTCCTGTGTAATGGGAGGAAAATCAGTGGCATCCAGCCATCACGTTGAAGGATATTAAAATTTAAATTGTTCAGTAAATTTCACCCTAATAACAGTATTATTGTTCCTTGGTTTCTGTTCTATTGTTCCATGACACGAACAACACACACATAACCCTCACATACGAGACAGAATTATTATAACCATGACCAAGCAATAAACCCACAAGGGTCATACAGATACGAGAAAGTAACTCATGACTACATTTTCTGTCCAACGTGGACCATTAACTGTGAATAATTAATGGTCCACGCTGGACCGAAATGTCATTATTAGCTTCTCGTATGTGTGGGTTATTTGTGTATTATTTATTGTGATGATTATTAGTGGTATGTAAGACACATAGGCAACAGTTAGGCAGCTTTATTCCAAAACGTTTTGCCTACACAGTAGGCTTCTTCAGTCGAGTACAGAAAGTAGGCAGTAGCAGTAGAGATGTGAAGATGATATAATCAGTCCATCACTCTTGAAAGTCATAGATTTGAGGTTATCAGTCCCTCAGCCTGGAGAAAAGTTCTGCTCCATAGTCTCGAGCTATCTGAAGATCGAGCGACAGGGTGGAGACTTACATACTGTTGGAAGGAGAGGTGCAGAGTAGTAGTAGAGAGAATGTAGCCACTGAGAGGTCATGTCCCTCTCAAATCAAACAATTCTCTTCTGTACCAAGATGCCATTGTGTTGCAGTGTCTGACAGAGTGAATATCAAAATGGTATACAATACCAACAGGTTGGTAGGTAAGACACATAGGCAACAGGTAGTTGCCTATGTGTCACCCTATGTTAGTTGCCTATGTGCCTATGGGTCACCCTGCCTTGGTGGGAAACAGCCAGTGTGTTAATAAAAAAATATATAATGATTATTATTATGATGGGAGTCACATCCAATGATAATCTAATGGTGGACTTCGGCAGGTGTTCTGGACATGGAGCAGTGAGGTGCGACAGTTTTGAGGACTTCATATTCCCTGTGGTGGGTCGGTCAGCGATCTCTAACACGACAGTTACCATCATACAGTCGTTCCCTGACCTCATCCAGCCAGTGTTCTTCAGGAAGTGCAGGTCAATACGTATATTGTACTGTTGTCTTGTAAATGATCTAGAAAACTGACAAGTTAAAGAATGAGGCACTTGTGTCTCATTCTACAGGAGGGCCCCACTTATACAGCAGGTCAAGTTCCAGGCTACTGCTGTAAAGGAGGGACCTGCTTATACAGCAGGTCAGGTTCCAGGCTACTGCTGTAAAGGAGGGCCCTGCTTATACAGCAGGTCATGTTCCAGGCTACTGCTGTAAAGGAGGGCCCTGCTTATACAGCAGGTCTGGTTCCAGGCTACTGCTGTAAAGGAGGGACCTGCTTATACAGCAGGTCAGGTTCCAGGCTACTGCTGTAAAGGAGGGCCCTGCTTATACAGCAGGTCTGGTTCCAGGCTACTGCTGTAAAGGAGGGCCCTGCTTATACAGCAGGTCAGGTTCCAGGCTACTGCTGTAAAGGAGGGCCCTGCTTATACAGCAGGTCATGCTCCAGGCTACTGCTGTAAAGGAGGGCCCTGCTTATACAGCAGGTCATGTTCCAGGCTACTGCTCTAAAAGGAGGGCCCTGCTTATACAGCAGGTTAGATTCCAGGCTACTGCTGTAAAGGAGGGCCCTGCTTATACAGCAGGTTAGATTCCAGGCTACTGCTGTAAAGGAGGACCCTGCTTATACAGCAGGTTAGATTCCAGGCTACTGCTGTAAAGCAAAAATTGCTGTAAAGTGAATTATAGCCTTTTTTCAGTTTCAAATATATACAAGTCAGATAACATGTTTACACTATCATGTATTAAGTGAACAATATAGCTAGGCCTAGAAAATGCTTATACAGTACACACATTACTTACCTTAAAATGTTTTCATCCTTAGCTTATAGTGAGTGGTGAATATATTGTAGCAAGTCTGAATAAATGAAGAATGAGTATAAATTGAAAACCACTGAATTTGTGAACTGCCATAAAGCAAAGCACTGTAAAGCAGGTCTCGCCTGTATATTGTTTTTCCTGTGCCGTAGAAACCAATTTCTAAAATACAATTGACAAATGAAAATTGACACTGTTCAAAGTGAATACCGAGATTTCTTTCTGTAAAGCCGACCAACACCAACTTTCAGTGTTTACCTGGAGTACTCCAGGTACTCCAGGTAAACACTGAAAGTTTGAAGCCTAATATATTAGAAAAGAGATTCTCCAGTAATTGTTCTGAATTCAACTATTCTTAGTAAATTATTGTATTCATGAGGAAGTGCTAAACCCATTTGGGTCATACAGCACCTGGGGAATGGGGGGTAATCATGTTTGATCCAAGGAAAGCTTAGGTCAGATTTCTAGAATCAAAACCCACTCTCCAGTATCAAAGTATTTCTACAGGAAGAGATTTAATGTTCTTATTGTTTACACGGAAAGCACTAAACCCCTAAAGGTCATACAGCTGAGAAACTTAGAAATCAATAACTAAGTCATTATTCTATACAACTACTGTATTATCTGGCATATAAGGTCACTTTTTTTCCCCCACAAAAAGTCTTGGAAAATCATTTTGTGCCTTATATCCTCAAGGTCAGGATCAAGGGTAGACTCTGTGTTACACTGTAGCAGTTATTTACTAATGTTACATTACGACTGCTTGGAAACGTCTTATATGTTAGTGCGTCTTATATGCCGGAAAATACGGTAATTATTTTCCTTATAATGGGGATTACCAATAGACCCCTGGCTGTTTTAGAGAGGGAGCTGGACAGGCACCTAAAGTCAGTACCTGATCAGCCGAGCTGTGGTTCTTATGTTGGTTTGCGTGAAGTCAGCAATAACAACCTGGTTGATCAGGTCCTGATCAACCATGAGGCCTGGTCATGGACCAGGCTATGGGGGCATTGACCCCTGGAACACTCTCTAAGTATACTCCAGGTATTATAGAGCAGAATGGACAGGGATTCAAACTACTTTTAATCATGTTGTAGGCTCTGTTGGTGAGCGGTCAGTGTTGGGCTTGCTGTATGCATGGACTATGGTTCAAATCCTAGTCCATTCCTGTTTATTCATTGATAGTTTCTAATTCTGACAAATTTATTTTGCATCATATATGACTAAACTTTATCAATATATTCTCCTACAGGAGTCAACAAGCATATGGTGCTTGTATCCAAGAATACCTGCCATTAAGCTTGCTTGTGTCTTCGTACTCTGGTGGAGGTCGCTCTCAGGACCTGGTGATGGTGGAGTCTGGTTGTCGTGCAACCTCACATGTCACTCACACGTACAGACCCCAAGGTAAAGACGCACAACTTAATGTCACAGAAATTCTCGAAAATATATCAAAAATACGAGAAAGTGACAGACGGTTATTTTGAAACTTTAAGCAGTGTTGAAAGGAGGAAGGGGAGTGTTGAAGATAACTATAGTGTAAACGATAGTCATAATGAACAACTGCCAACTAATAAACTGAAGAATGGACTGGGATTTAGACCACGCTGGGTCTGTTATATGCAGTGATCCCTTCAAGAGAGTCCTTGATGCTGGTGAGGGGGTTTTTGATTCAAGGCACTGGAATTATCCTCCACTTTCTCAGAGCAAACCAGATTGCCTACCATTTCCCAGGAGCTGTATGGCCCCTACAGATTTAGTGCTTCCCCCTAAATGTCCCATGGAGCTCAATTCAAGGCCTTGTCCATTCTTCAGCTTATCTGTAAACGTAGTATTGTATTCTTATGATTTATTTACAAGTGCTAAACCTGTATGGGGTCATACAGTACCCAGGAAATGGAGAGTATACATTTTAATCTTAATGGGACTGCCCAGATGTTGGTAAAAGTCTCTTGATATGAGAAATTGGAGCTACCCACCATTTCCTTTGATCAACCCTGACTACTCTCCTTTTTATTCACAGCTGCTGTATAATCCTTATGGGTTTAGCACTTTCCAAAAATTCAGTAAGTTCTTTATAGTTCAAAGTTCTTGCATACACTATACAGCACAGAACTGACTTTTAGCTGTTAAAATGTCATATTACCAATTCACCTTGCCTGTGAGAGTTCACTTGTATGCAGAAATCCCAGCTCCTCTGTTAATTCACTACACAAGGTGCTATCAAAAAATTTCTGGACTTGAATGTTTGCATGCTTCCTGGGTGTAATATGGCTGCGACATAGACTGCACTGTACATACAGCACACTCCTTGTGAAGTAACATGGCGAGTTTCAGTGCGGTCGGTCATTACGTTGAGGACAGAAGGGCATTTTTTTGTCATATTGTAAGTGCTTTGCTATGATTTTTTGTGTAACAGAACAGAATCTTTAAAAGGAAGAACAGTGTGTTGTGTGTGAAATTCTGTTACAAGCTCAGAAAAATGTCTAGTGAGAGTCACAAGTGCTTCAGCAAGCATTTGGCAACAAGGCCATCACTTGAACACAGTGTTTTCAATGGTTTTTCTCAATTCATAGCAGGATGAACATCAGTTGAGGATGATGAATGCTTTGGTCATCCATCAATGTCAAAAACCTGCCAGCATTGAAAAAGTGAGTAAGATGATTCATGGAGATCATTATCAGGGTATTCAGGACATTTTAAGTGCTGCGGGAATTTCTTGAGTCGTGTCAAAGCATTCTGTCTGAAAATTTGAATGTGAGGCGAGTGGCCATGAAATTTATATCCCACCTGACTCAAGACCATCGTTTTCTGGCCAAAAGCAACATGATGGCCATCCAGCACCATCCCTACTTCCCAGGTCAAGTCCTGTGATGTCTTTCTCTTCCTATAAGTATAAATGACAATGAGAGGATGGCAATTTAATGACCTGGAGATGATTCAAGCAGAATTGCAGCCATGCTAGTTAGGAAAGAAGAGTTCCAGAAATGTTTGAGAAGTGACAAAGGTGCTGGGATCCGTATGCCTACATAGCCTCCGAAGAAGAGCACTTCAGAGGAAACACCTTGAACTAGATGATTAGGTAAGCATATATATATCTATAAATTTTTTAATGGCAGTGCAGGAACTTTTTGATAGCACCTCATATGTATAAATTTATTCTTAATGCAATCACCCAAACTCGACACCACTTGATTTTTTTATATCTCTATATTCTAAACTAGTTTATATTGATATTCATAAGAAAGATCTAATAGAAAGAACAAGAGTTAGGCATGGGAAATCCAATGAGCATCTTGAATGAAATCCTAAGGTTAGTTATCAGTTTAAGTGTCTTGTATCAAGTCAAAAGAAAATGAACAGCCAACCAGACTAAGTCTGGACCAGGAGTGGAGGAAGATGTACATTCATAGTTTCATAACATTTGTTTAGATTCAGACAGGGATGGGGAATTAAAGAATAAAAAAAATCACAATACCGTGACTGGAACAGTACACAAATAACCCGCACATAGGAGAGAGAAGCTCATGATGATTTTTCGGTCCAGTGTGGACCGAAATGTTGTGTTAATGTTTAAGTCGGACCGAAACATCATCATGAGTTTCTTTCTCCTATTTGTGGGTTATTTGTGTAGTGAGGGGGAATTATAATTGAATTTAGAATTAATTTTTTCTTATTTATTCATTTGCATTTATTTTGGTATATGGCTGTTTGTTGTCCATCTGATATGCTGTTACATGTATTGTGTTGGCAAAAATAAGTTTTGTAGAATTTTTTCTCCACAATTTTGCAAGTTTCTTAACGAGGCTTAAAGCAAATTGACCACATAATTTTGTGTGATATACAGAGTGCAGTTCTTAGCTTTTGGAAAAGATTTATTAGTTTTATGTGCCGGCCAGGGGCACATTTGTCGCGTGAAACTAGGACGACCTATATTTTTTGTAGTATAAGTCATTTCTCCATTAAGGTGAAGAAAAGAGAGAGGTTACAGAGTAAGTTTTAACCAGGGGTAACATTGTGCTCTGTGTAGAGTTTGATCATGATTGGATAAAGCTCTATACATGTGTAGAGCTTTATTGTTAAAGCACTACACATGTACAGCTTTACTTTCTAAATCTCTGTATAGAGCTTTATTAAATATCTAGAGCTTTGTGTAAAGCTTTATCATGACCTGATAAAGCTCTGCACAATGTGTACAGCTTTATTACTTGCTAAATATAAACAGAGCTCTGTGTAAAGCTTTATGACCCAATAATGTTTAGCACTTAGTTATAATATGACCCGATAAAGCTCTACATAGAACTTGTTAAGACTCTACCCAGAGCAAAAACAATGTCCCAATAAAAACTTATTCCACACCCTGTAACGCTTCATCTACATGACCCTAGTGGGTTTAGTGCTAATTTTTTGGATTGTAATAATACAGCCTCTCCTCACTTAACGACAGAGTTCCGTTCCTAAGACCACATCGGTAAATGAATTTGTTGCTATGTGAGGAGAGGCTGTACTGCCCAGGCGTCCCCAGTTCAACACTAAGATCCAGCACCACACAAACGTTTTTACCTGATTTCCAATATAAGTCTTTAACACAAGCAAAATTTCATCTTTTTATTAAAAATCTGCAGGAACTTGCACATGGCATTTATATATATAAATAATATAAAAATTACGTCTCCTGGACAAAACATAATAGAGTCGTTAAGAAATATCCTGAGTTATTGTAGACATCTGCCCTTCCAGGAGCACCCTTCATGCTGGTGAAGGGCTCTTGATCCAAGGAATTATCTACCCTTCCATTCCTTGGATCACACCTGATTACTGCTCATTCTCCAGGAGCTGTATAACCCATGAAAATTAGTTTATCTTCATGAGATAAAGTGCTCTATGAATGGCTGGTAATCAGGTTTGATAGAAGGAAGAAGCAGCTCCATTTCTTTGGATCAAGAGCCCTTCAGCTTTAAGGCATCTATAACACCTTCCCACAAGAAGAGACTGTTCAAACAATCTTAATGGGGATTACACAATCTTAGTGGGGATTATACAGTCTTAGTGGGGATTACACAATCTTAATGGGGATTATACAGTCTTAATGGGGATTACAGAAGCCTCAATATAAGTACACTAATTACTCTAGATGATAAAATTAGTTGAAGAATTATACAACCTTCATACAACAGGGGAATTATCAAGAGGCCCTTGGATGTCTTAATGAGGAAACTTAAGTTTCTATAGTTCCTAATCAATCAGGCTGTGATGTGTCTATGTTGTGCTAGCAACAACAGCCTCACTGCTGAAAGACAAGTGTAGAGGCTTTTATTTAACCACATTTCACCCAACATTGGTGTGGGTGGCATCCTGGGACAAAACTGACCTATTTTGCCCAAAATGCTCTCCATAAAAAGTGGCTTTCTATATAGCAATATATAATTGATGTTGGCTAGGCCTGTGTACCTTGTACATGTAGAAATAGATATTATTACTATAGGCACTTATGTATAGTCCCCCAGGGACTGATGTCAAGTGTTGGGTGTCAAGAGCATAGTGAAGCTGCTTCACTGTGGATTTGTGCATTGGAGGAGTTTACTGCCCCATGCTTGGCTCAATGGGTGTTTCAAAATTTAGGACCCAATTTCAAAGCAGCTCCTTTGAAAGTGGGTCCATCAATTTGAAATGCCTTGTATTTTGTGTGTTATGGGAGTAAACATCACATTGTTCTGGTTGATAGTGTTAGTTTAATTACCAATGACTTCAGTCATTTTCACAGTTTGTATTCCTGGTGGAGATAAATGGTATAATACCAACACAGTGGAAAAATGGACACACATGCAGTATAATGTGATCCTTTATTGACTGTTTCACCCACACAGTGGGTTTTATCAAGTCACAAACAGCTCTACCTGGTAAGACAGTATGTAAGTATATATAGAATAATAGTAATATGAAGGGTCAGGTGAGGAATGTTAATGATGATTGCTGAGAAAAGGTTGGTTTTGGGGAGGACCTGCCCAGGATGGGCAAGTAGGTTTGCTATTGTATAGGGTAATGAAGAAATTTCCTGGGATTCAGCTATGTTGTAAAAGCCATTTTTCTGGATGAAATTGTTGGATATACAGATGAGTGATGATTCCAAGATCCTGCAGTACTGAGCGTCTTCCTCCCTGGTGATGAATCTTGCTTCTCTTTAGTTGATTAAATGATTGTGGAAGTTTCAGTATAAAATACAGACATTCCTCAAGTCGTCTGTTCTGCTGGCGTATTGGTATTCTGTAATACATGTTTGGAAGTCTCGGGATGTCTTGTCCATGTATAATTGTTTGCAATCATTGCAAGGTGTTTTATATACACCTGCAGAGGATTGAACCTGCTGGTGATGTCTTTGATGGTGGTGGATGTGGAGGTAGATACTTGGAATGTAGCATTGAAAAAGATGTTGGATATGTGTTTGACAACAAAGTTGGCGGGGAGGACTATGTATCTCGTCTCTGGGTGAGTTAGATATTATATGCCCAGTGCTGCAGTCTCTAATGAAGTGATGAGGATAGTGAAGTTTAGGTAATACTTGTTCAATAAAAGAACATTCTTCCTTAAGAAATTCACTCAAGATTCAGAGGGCTTGATAGAAGAAGCCTGTGATTACACCATGTTTAGTTTTGGTATTGTGGTGAGAGTAGCAGTGGAGAAGATCATGGTGCAATCACAAGCTTCTATCAAGCCCTCTGAATCTGTAGTGAATTTCTTAAGGAAGAATGTTCTTTTATTGAACAAGTATTACCTAAACTTCACTATCCTCATCACTTCATTAGAGACTGCAGCACTGGGCATATAATATCTAACTCACCCAGAGACGAGATACATAGTCCTCCCCGCCAACTTTGTTGTCAAACACATATCCAACATCTTTTTCAATGCTACATTCCAAGTATCTACCTCCACATCCACCACCATCAAAGACATCACCAGCAGGTTCAATCCTCTGCAGGTGTATACAAAACACCTTGCAATGATTGCAAGCAATTATACATGGACAAGACGTCCCGAGACTTCCAAACATGTATTTCAGAATACCAATACGCCAGCAGAACAGACGACTTGAGGAATGTCTGTATTTTACACTGAAACTTCCACAATCATTTAATCAACTAAAGAGAAGCAAGATTCATCACCAGGGAGGAAGACGCTCAGTACTGCAGGATCTTGGAATCATCACTCATCTGTATATCCAACAATTTCATCCAGAAAAATGGCTCTTACAACATAGCTGAATCCCAGGAAATTTCTTCATTACCCTATACAATAGCAAACCTACTTGCCCATCCTGGGCAGGTCCTCCTCAAAACCAACCTTTTCTCAGCAATCATCATTAACATTCCTCACCTGACCCTTCATATTACTATTATTCTATATATACTTACATACTGTCTTCCCAGGTAGAGCTGTTTGTGACTTGATAAAACCCACTGTGTGGGTGAAACAGTCAATAAAGGATCACATTATACTGTATGTGTGTCCATTTTTCCACTGAGTTGGTATTATACCATTTATCTCCACCAGGAATACAAACTGTGAAAATGACTGAAGTCATTGGTAATTAAACTAACACTATCAACCAGAACAATGTGATGTTTACTACCATAACACATGTACAAAACATAGCAAGCCATGCAGGGGCCAGTAGGCTCCTCCAATGCACAAATTCACAGTGGAGCCTCACTCACACCTAAACCCATGACATCCAATATGTGATGCATCTCCCTGGGATACCATACAAGACATTCTCTCATATCAGTGTTGGGTGAAATGTTGTTATATTAAGATCTCGGCATCTGAGCCTTTTTCATATGCTGTATGCATATTGCCATTTTCACAAACAGCCTGACTGATCAGGTAATCAACCAAGCCATAGAGGCAATGACCCTGGAATCAACAGGTAGACTACAAGTAGGTAAACTAGTAAACATTGTACAATATAACCTGGTACTGTACACACGGGTGCTCAGCTAACAACCACATTGTGCTCATAAGTGTTCAGTCACACAAACAAGGCGTGAAGTACAGTATTGTATTTTCCAGCATATAAGACAATGTTTCCAAGCAATTATAACCTAACTTTAGTAAACAAATGCTAAAATGTAACCCAAAGCCTACGTTTGACCCTGACCTTGAGCATACAACGGGCAGGCTGATTTCACAACACACTGTTTAAAAAGAAAGCATGCCTTATTTGCTGGATAATAGTAATTTTCCCAACAGAAAACAAGAGAGTGAAGGACGGTTGTGTTACGTGTTCGTAAGTATGGATGTTTACAGCTCAGGAGTTAGCGAACCGACAGTCCCCTAGATCAGCATTTCTTTCATTATAAGCTAAGCACAAGATAAAAAAAAATTCTAACATTATTTGCTAAATACAATAATTAACATAAAATGATGGTCCATTGATCAATCAGTGAATGACAATGAACAAAATTATGACAAGTAAACAATACTGTACACTTCCTATATGACATGTGAACATTAAAATGGTATAAAATACCGACAGGTTGTTAGATAAGACACATATGCAACAGTTAGGTATCTTTATTACGAAACGTTTCGCCTACACAGTAGGCTTCTTCAGTCGAGTACAGAAAAGTTGATAGAAGCAGAAGAGACTTGAAGACGATGTAATCAGTCCATCACAATGTTCTTCTCCAGACTGAGTGACTGACCACCTCAAAACTTTAAGGGTGATGGACTGATTACATCGTCTTCAAGTCTCTTCTGCTTCTATCAACTTTTCTGTACTCGACTGAAGAAGCCTACTGTGTAGGCGAAACGTTTCGAAATAAAGATACCTAACTGTTGCATATGTGTCTTACCTAACATAACGACATGCAAATAATAATGTACATTTCCTACACAATATAAACTAAAATGTAATTTTTTTCCTTTAATCCTTAACCCTTAAACTGCCCGAACGTAGATCTACTTTTTTTTTACATGCCTTCCAACGGAGAAAATAAAGGTCGGAGCGCTACGCACGTGAATGTAGATCTGTGTTTGGACAGTTTCAGGGTTAACTTCAGACACTACAAATTTTTTTTATGAATGCCTATATAATAACATAAAATAAGTTTGCTGTATTTATTGTACAACAATAGTACTAGTGATTAAAATTATAAACATTATCTTTTATTCGCTTGGAATATTAATGGGAATTATATTTACTAGTGAACATATAATTTTCAACTAAAGTCTGTGACATACAAACTAGGGACCTCCTGTATTGTTTATAATATTCATAATACAGTAGGACCCCTGTATCCACTGATTTGGTATCCACAGTTTCAGTTATCCATGGCTTACTGTGGCCCAAAAATACCTCTTAACCCTTAAACTGTCCAAACGTAGATCTACGTTTTTTCAACATTTGAAAGTATGTAAAAAAAACGTAGATCTCCTTTTTTTTCACATTGGAAAGCGTGTAAAAAAAACTTTGATCTACATTTTTTTTTTTGTTATATTTGAAAAATGTAAAAAAAACGTAGATCTATGTTTGGACAGTTTAAGGGTTAATTTTGCATAATAACAACACCAAAGCACAAAAGTAGTGATGGTGGCAGTTCTTCAAAGCCTAAAAGAAGTCATAAAGTACTTCCCATCAGTGAAAAATTGATAATTCTCCACTTATTGTGCATAATTTATCAATTAAACTTTATAATAGGTATGTACAGGACTTATATATAGGGTTTGCTACTATCCACGGTTTCGGTATCCCTGGCAGGTACAGTGGACCCCCGCATAACGATCACCTCCGAATGCGACCAATTATGTAAGTGTATTTATGTAAGTGCGTTTGTACGTGTATGTTTGGGGGTCTGAAATGGACTAATCTACCTCACAATATTTCTTATGGGAAAAAATTCGGTCAGTACTGGCACCTGAACATACTTCTGGAATGAAAAAATATCGTTAATCAGGGGTCCACTGTAATTGCTTATTTCCAGTAAAAATATATTTCCAATGCAGTAAGTCGACAATTTACAAAATGAGAATCTCTGTATTGTGTATTTCATTACAATAGGACCCCTGTATCCGTGGTGATACCTTCCAAGTACAGTGGACCCCCGGTTAACGATATTTTTTCATTCCAGAAGTATGTTCAGGTGCCAGTACTGACCGAATTTGTTCCCATAAGGAATATTGTGAGGTAGATTAGTCCATTTCAGACCCACAAACATACACGTACAAACGCACTTACATAAATACACTTACATAATTGGTCGCATTCGGAGGTGATCGTTAAGCGGGGGTCCACTGTATTATATTTTGTGTAAATTAAAAGATGCAAAATATTTAGATTATTAACAATTTAAAATTTACATTTATCACACAATCAATTACATATTAAAATAATTATATTTAACTTAGATTTTAATGATTTGTGTTGTTTTTCATGAAGAAGTTACCTTTACTCAAGGGATAACAATTTAATAATTTCAGTCAATATTTTGTGAAAACGTTACCTTACTCAAGGGATAACAATTTGTACAGGCCAAGTTACTCCTTTATCAACTTTCGACAGTGTGGGAGGCAGCAGTTAAGTCAGAAAGAATATCTTGGAGTTCAGTCACCTTACTAATGGTGAAGTCCGGCTGGATGTCACCCGGAGCAGAGTTATTCCTTGCGTTGACCCAGACAGTTGCTCCGACACCAGCATTCACTCCGCCTTTGATATCGGTTTCAATCTTATCTCCGACCATAATGCACTCGGAAGGGCTCACCTACACAAAAAGGGAAATGTGTATTAGTTTTACAAAGTAACACTTGAGTAAAAATTGCAAGATTGAAAAACTGAGTTTGTCAAATGTAATTGCCTAATTCCCTTTTCCCAATTAAATTACTATATTCACAAAAAATAAAAATGCACATGGGTTCTTCAGTGATGTGTAGGCCTGCAGGTTGCTAGCAGTAACAGTTTAGTTGAGCATGTAGTCAACAAGGAGGCCTAGCCTCAGGCTGGGCTGCGAGGCAACAACTCTCAGAACCAGTCAGAGATCCTACATTAAATATCTGCTCTGAAACACAAGCAATTTCATAATATTGCACAACTTGCAACATCTAAAACAAGCGTTAATTATGCAATAATCACAGACCAGCAATACAAGATGCAAAACAGCCACAGTGGGAGTTAAATGATTGCTGTAAGTCTTTTGTGTTGCAATCAACACATCAACAGGCATTTGAAATAATATAGAAATGAGTACGAAGTCCAGGTTGATTCATTCAGGGTAAAACCTCTATCTAGACAGAACAGTTCCCTTGAACAAATCTACCTCGACTTCCTACTCATTTCTGCAACATTGCAAGTTCCTGATGATGCACTGATTGCAACACAAAAGGCCTAAAGCTATCATTCAACTCCCCCTGTGATTGTTTTGCATCAAGTATTACTTAAGTTAGAACTTCACTGCAGTCATTTTCTTACTCTAACTAAAGGACGTTGCAAGTTTACAAATGCTACACATCCACACTTACAAAATAATGTTTTGAAACCACCAGATCACAGTACAAACACGAGTGAAAAATAACAATCTTTCATGTAAAGTAAAAGGACACAAGTGCAACTAATGTGACATTTATTGTGGCAACGTTTCGCTCTCCAGGAGCTTTATCAAGCCATTACCATAGGTAACAGCTTGATAAAGCTCCTGGAGAGCGAAACATTGCCACAATAAATGTCACATTAGTTGCACTTGTGTCCTTTTACTTTACATATTGTCGGTAATTCTACCAACTTTATTACAACAATCTTTCATGCTTATTTTCTATATAAACATGTTTGCAAGTTGAAAATCCAGCACAGCAAGTCATTTGGAAGTTAAGGACCCGTGTTACCCTTCCTGGGCTGCTACCTCCCCCACAGAGGTATCAACACAAGCCCTGGAAATATATTTTCAAAGCAAGCATTAAGCCATAATGGTCATACAGTGCATGGAGAATGGGAGGTAATCAGGCTTAATCCAAGAAAAGGCAGAGGCATTACCTCTACTCCATATGTACCAATGTATAGCTTCTCAATTTTATACACACACACTGACCCTGATTTTTCAACTTACAAATGAGTTGTTTGTAAAGAAAATATTACAGAGGATGGTTATGTTTCACACACACACACACACACACACACACACACACACACACAACACCAGTATGCCACCAGGTCTCCCACCCTCACAGGCCCCCCAAACCACAGTGTTGGAAAGGAAACTGAAGGTATGGTACACAAACGCTGATGGAATAACAAATAAGTGGGAGGAGTGGCATGAAAGAGTCAAAGAAGCATCGCCGGACATCATAGCTCTCACAGAAACCAAGCTTACAGGTATGATAACAGATGCCATCTTTCCAACGGGATACCAAATCCTGAGGAAAGACAGAGGGAACAGGGGGGGTGGAGGAGTGGCGTTGCTGATCAAAAATCGCTGGAATTTTGATGAGCTGGAGAGAGGAGACAGCGGAGAAGAAAGTGATTACATAGCGGGAACACTTCACTCTGGAGGTCCCAAGGTGGTAATAGCAGTGATGTATAACCCACCACAGAACAGCAGGAGGCCAAGGCAAGAGTACGACGAGAGCAATAGAGCGATGGTTGACACACTGGCTAGAGTGGCCAGAAGAGCTCATGCATGCAGGGCAAAGCTCCTGATCATGGGTGACTTTAACCACAAGGAGATCGATTGGGAGAACTTGGATCCACATGGGGGGCCCAAAATACATGGAGGGCTAAGATGATGGAGGTGGTACTGGAAAACTTCATGTGCCCAAAACGTAAGGGGCACTACAAGAGAGAGAGGAGAGGATGAACCAGCAAGGCTGGACTTAGTATTCACCTTGAGTAGTGCAGATATCGAGGACATCACATACGAAAGACCCCTTGGGGCCAGTGACCATGTGGTTTTAAGCTTCGAATACACAGTAGAGCTACAAGTGGAGGGAGAAGCAGGAAGGCCAGGACGAATGAAGCCAAACTACAAGAAAGGGGACTACACAGGAATGAGGAACTACCTGAACGGGGTTCAGTGGGACAGAGAACTGGCAGGGAAGCCAGTTAATGAGATGATGGAATATGTAGCAACAAAATGCAAGGAGGCTGAGGAGAGGTTTGTACCCAAGGGTAACAGGAATAATGAAAAAGCCAGGATGAGCCCATGGTTTACCCAAAGGTGCAGGGAGGCAAAAACCAAGTGTGCTAGGGAATGGAAGAAATATAGAAGGCAAAGGACCCAGGAGAATAAGGAGAACAGTCGTAGAGCCAGAAACGAATATGCACAGATAAGAAGGGAGGCCCAAAGACAATATGAACATGACATAGCAGCGAAAGCCAAATCTGACCCGAAACTGTTGTACAGCCACATCAGGAGGAAAACAACAGTCAAGGACCAGGTAATCAGGCTAAGGAAGGAAGGAGGAGAGACAACAAGAAATGACCGTGAAGTATGTGAAGAACTCAACAAGAGATTCAAAGTGTTCACAGAGGAGACAGAAGGGACTCCAGAAAGACGGAGAGGTGGGGCACACCACCAAGTGCTGGACACAGTGCACACAACCGAGGAAGAAGTGAAGAGGCTTCTGAGTGAGCTAGATACCTCAAAGGCAATGGGGCCAGATAACATCTCCCCATGGGTATTGAGAGAGGGAGCAGAGGCGCTATGTGTACCCCTAACAACAATATACAATACATCTATCGAAACAGGGAGATTGCCTGAGGCATGGAAGACAGCAAATGTAGTCCCAATCTTTAAAAAAGGAGACAGACATGAAGCATTAAACTACAGACCAGTGTCACTGACATGTATAGTATGCAAAATCATGGAGAAGATTATCAGGAGAAGAATGGTGGAACACCTAGAAAGGAACGATCTCATCAACAGCAGCCAACATGGCTTCAGGGACGGGAAATCCTGTGTCACAAACCTACTGGAGTTCTATGACATGGTGACAGCAGTAAGACAAGAGAGAGAGGGGTGGGTGGATTGCATTTTCTTGGACTGCAAGAAGGCGTTTGACACAGTTCCACACAAGAGATTGGTGCAAAAACTGGAGGACCAAGCAGGGATAACAGGGAAGGCACTACAATGGATCAGGGAATACTTGTCAGGAAGACAGCAGCGAGTCATGGTACGTGGCGAGGTGTCAGAGTGGGCACCTGTGACCAGCGGGGTCCGCAGGGGTCAGTCCTAGGACCAGTGCTGTTTCTGGTATTTGTGAACGACATGACGGAAGGAATAGACTCTGAGGTGTCCCTGTTTGCAGATGACGTGAAGTTGATGAGAAGAATTCACTCGATCGAAGACCAGGCAGAACTACAAAGGGATCTGGACAGGCTGCAGACCTGGTCCAGCAATTGGCTCCTGGAGTTCAATCCCACCAAGTGCAAAGTCATGAAGATTGGGGAAGGGCAAGAAGGCCGCAGACGGAGTACAGTCTAGGGGGTCAGAGATATAAACCTCACTCAAGGAAAAAGATCTTGGGGTGAGTATAACACCAGGCACACTCTCCTGAAGCGCACATCAACCAAATAACTGCTGCAGCATATGGGCGCCTAGCACACTCAGAACAGCATTCCGACATCTTAATAAGGAATCATTCAGGACCTGTACCACCGTGTACGTTAGGCCCATATTGGAGTATGCGGCACCAGTTTGGAACCACACCTAGCCAAGCACGTGAAGAAACTAGAGAAAGTGCAAAGGTTTGCAACAAGACTAGTCCCAGAGCTAAGAGGTATGTCCTACGAGGAGAGGTTAAGGGAAATCAACCTGACGACACTGGAGGACAGGAGAGATAGGGGGACATGATTAACGACATACAAAATACTGAGAGGAATTGACAAGGTGGACAAAGACAGGATGTTCCAGAGATTGGACACAGTAACAAGGGGACACAGTTGGAAGCTGAAGACACAGATGAATCACAGGGATGTTAGGAAGCATTTCTTCAGCCACAGAGTAGTCAGTAAGTGGAATAGTTTGGGAAGCGATGTAGTGGAGGCAGGATCCATACATAGCTTTAAGCAGAGGTATGATAAAGCTCACGGCTCAGGGAGAGTGACCTAGTAGCGATCAGTGAAGAGGCGGGGCCAGGAGCTCGGACTCGACCCCCGCAACCTCAACTAGGTGAGTACACACACACACACACACACACACACACACACACACACACACACACACACACACACACACACACACACACTCACTCACTCACTCACTCACTCACTCACTCACTCACACTCACTTGCAAGCTGCAGCTCGGTAGTTATGAAACATTAATTAATTAATAAATACCCAATTTGTAAGTGGATAAATGTAACTGTAGTTTTTTGTGAGATGAGGACATCCTTTTTCTCCATTAGGTAATATAACTGCATGATTTTTACCCTCAATATACAAATGCTGGTCATGGACCAGGTCAAGGGGGTGGTGACCCCCACAACATATCCCAGGCAAACATCCTCTAGGGAAACTTACAGGTCTTATTCAACTACAAATATTTTCGTAATAATTGACGAAACACTGACAAAGTGTTTGGTAAAAAGACACATCTAACTAACGTGTAATGACTTAACAAAGTTCCTGGAGAGCGAAATGCTGCCAAAATTAAAAATGTCACATTAATTGCACCTGTGTCCTTTTACCTATAAATCTTTTCTCCACCATACAAATCTTATCTTCACTACACAAGTTCCAACACAAGCCATCAACTTAAATCCTGCTATACACAAGTTCCAAAGCTTACACTTCCTATCTCCATTACTCAATCTTATTATACAAAGGCAAGTGCACTGCAAGTACGTAAAATTTTTAACACAATGATATGATGCCTTGAAGAGAGAGGCATCATAACACAGCTTCTTGACGAAAAAAAAAAGAAGTCACTAAAGAAAAAAAAATTGCATTTTAGCTATATGCATTTTAAACTCGACAGAGAACTGGCTGAGATGTTGACAGTGCATGCGGAAAGAATGCACGCGCCCCCTGTACACAGAAACTGACCAGATCTCAACACTGCCATAGTGAACAAATAAATAAGACAAATAAAACATCACACACTGCCAAGGAACGTACTGCAAACCCATCCTTAAAATATAATACATACTCCTTTGTTTTATGAGGTGAAATATGTTTCCAAAACAACCACAGTGAAGGTAGTAAAATCCAAGGAAAGAACCAGTTGTTAAGGTATCCTTAAAACATAATGATTCTTCATGTCAAGCTATCCTTAAAACACAATGACCCTTTTATTATAATCTGAAATATATTTCCCAAAAAACCACAATGTTGTAAAGTCCAAAATATGGTAAGCATAATACATAATGTCAAGATGTAAGTGGTCAAAATTTGGAACAAATTAGGCATTGTTGAACTACTGCCCCAAAGCAATGAGTACTGTCAATAATTCTACAAACTTTGATAGAAGCCATCACAAACACTCCACTGCACATCACGTCTAAATTTTCAAATCTGCAAGCCATCAATGGTGCCCAAATTATGTCTTGGAGACCAACTTGAAAAATTATACTCACCAGCTGCAGCCAGCATGACTGTGGTGGCCAGATTGCTGCTGGAGTTCATCACGGTAAATCCTGCATCAAAATCAGACACTATTTTCCTCTCTTGCAATATTTCCCCACAAATAAAGAACCACCACAATATTCTCAACATTTTTTTTTCCCGGCATGCAAACAAAATATGCACTGTATTGTGTATTAAGGTGACCTCACTTTAAGAGAACAGCCTCTTGATCATTTCAATAGCTCCTCATATACAGCTGGTTCATAGTATCACCATTACATTTATAGTATAGTAATTAAATTATATTTGTAGGCAAGCATTAAACCCAGAATGGTCATACAGCCATGGAGAATGGGAAGTAATTAGGCTTAATCCAAGCAAAGGAAAGGTAGTGCCAATTCTTGGACTCCACAGTCCTTGGCCAGCACCAAGACACCTCACCTTAAAGGGTTAGAGTCAAATAAAACCAACAGCTCTCCATGGGGAAGTGGAACAGAATTCTTCCTCCGTAATCCATGTGTGTCATAAGAGGCGACTAAAATGCCGGGAGCAAGGGGCTAGTAACCCCTTCTGTATGCAAAGAAAAACTTTCCCTTTTCTTTTTGAGCCACCCTACAGCTGCCACTCTTACAACCTAAGATGTATTATACATCACACAAACAAGGATACTCAGACATAGGCAAGTCTACCATCTTACATGTGAAATTACAATTACTTAAATAATTTACAGTGAATAAAACACTACAAAATTATGTATTTAATTTTAACACAACAGCAGTCTCCCACCGAGGCTGGGTGACCCCAAAAAAAAACAGGGAATGTAAAGTTTTATTCATTATTACATTTAGTAATAATACAGGAGAACAGGTTACTGCACAGTGAAGGATGGGAGGAGAGACAATGCAGTTTTTGAACTGTAACATTGGCATGTCTCTGGCAAGACATGGATGGAGTGATGATAAAAGTGTTTCTTCTTTCTCAGGTCACCTGCCTTGGTGGGAAATGGCTAATGTGTTAAAAGAAGGGGAGGGGGGTTAATAGCCCCATGTTCCCAGTATTTTAGTCTCCTCTTACGACACTCATGGCTTACAGAGGAAGATTTTTTCCACTTCTCCATGGGGACAAAATTATATTGTAAATGTATGTTCTGTATCATCTTAGGACACACTATTATAAAGTGATCCTTTATTTTTGAATGGAGAGTAAGACTGCTCTGGTACCCCAGATGATAAACCACAGGAGACTGTGTTTCCTGACAAACAAACCACCACCACCATTCATGTTAGTGTAGGGCGCTTAAGTCAAGAAATTGGAGCTACTCTTCCCTTCCATGGATCAAAGCCAATTACTTCCCATTCTCCAGGTGCTGTATAACCCTTATGTGTTTATGCTTTCCCATGAATCTAATGTAAATATTTAGTGAACTAAAGATTATGATTCCTTTTAAAGACTTACCTACAATACAACCACATACAGTGGACCCTCAACCAATGGCATTAATCCGTTCCAGAGAGCTAGCCATTAGTCGAATTTGCCGTTAGTCGAATTAATTTTCCCCATAACAAATAATGGAAATCCAATTAATCCGTTTCAGACAGCCAAAAGTGTTAACAAAAAATATTTTTTTTAAAGATTAAATATACATACAGAAAACAATGACAAATAAATATAAAGCACAAATAAAATGGATAAATGAACAAGTTTATTATGCTTCAATATGACACTAATAACTCTATGGCTTACTCATCCATCACAATTCATCTAATATGACATTATAAACTATTAATAACACAGAAACATGATATATACTCTAGAATGAATAAAATATGTCATAATGTATGAGAGGAGTAAATGGTGTAAGTGTTGTTGTTGGGTTTAAGGGCCGCCACTGAGAGAAGCCGTGTTGGTGGCGATGGAGGATTTTGCCAGCACCACCATCACACTTAAACAATGTATGTAACTTATAAATAAGAAATATTTACATTTTAATTTATAAATAAGAAATATTTACATTTTAATCCTCTTCAAGGGGGGCTCCTTGGCGTGGTGAAGAGGCTCTTGGTCTGAGGAATTAGACCTATCGGTCTTCTTCCTCAGACCGAACCTAATT